TGTTGAGAATCTTAGTAATTCTTTCTAGCGGCCCCAAACTTCTATGATGGCAGGACTTTCTTGTCCTGTTTTTCAAGGTACAACTCCGATGAGGCCTGTTGCTTTAAGCAAAGCTGAATTCGTTTGATTCCCTTTCTAAAGCTCTTTGTCTTTTAAATGACACCAGCAAAGCTGCTGGGGGGAGGATTCCCGGGTAAGGTAGAGCGAGGTGCTGTTTGCTTTGTCCTGGGGGGACTTGCCTTGTCCACTCCCACTTCTGGGGAGGGTCGTGACGCAGGCAGGGGCAGACTTTGCAATGACTCTGCTTTCTGGGGCTTGGCGTTTGTTCCGGAAAACGATGGCTTGCGAGGAAGTATGCTGGGGCGAAGAGAGCCTCGGCAGGGGAGCTGCAGCAGAACCGAAGGAGAGGAAGCCCGAAGCTTGAGACCCGATGGGGGACCGGGGCTCTCCCTGACCCCCCAGCTCTGGACGCACCCGGAGCCGAGCAGGAGATCCGAGCGGACCCCGAATATCCAGGGGGGCCCCTGAGAGCGCCCCGCACTGGTCCCGCTCCCGGGCTGCCCTGGACGCGCCGCACATCGTGCGCAACCAGCGCGGAGCGGAGCAGAGAGGTCTGCCCTGCTCGCAGACCCGGGGACTCTCGCACCAACTTGAGGAGTCCCTGCTGATCCATGAGAGGAAGTCCTCCCACCCCACCCCAGCCAGCGGGAAGGGGCTTAGGAGTCAGATCTGAGTTGCTTTCCCGGAGGCAGTGTGACCCCATGGGCCCCCCAGCCACATAGCATGTGTTGCCAACCATCAGCAGCTAAACAACGTTTACCATTGTTATATTCCTGTATTATAGAGTAAACCTCACACACAGTACCTGTGTGGTGTACTGTTCTTTCCAACAAGAACAGTAGAATGGACAACCCCATGCCCAACCGCCCAGATCCAAAACTTCACATTCGGACTTATTTGCATTATCGCTCTGTCCATCCTTTTGCGGAAACTTTTAAGTCAGTAGCAGACATCATGAGTCTTTATCCCTAACTACTTGAGCACACATCTGAAATAAAGTCCTTCTCCAGAACCACAAGCCATTATTACATCTAAAATCAAGTCCTTACCTATTGTATTCAAATTTCCCAAATCATCCTCAAAATATTGACTATAGCTCTATTTTAAAACAAAAATCCATGCATTTTGCTGTTATGTCTTTATTTAAACAGCTTTAATGATATATAATTTACATACCATACAACTCACCCATCTAATTGTACAGCTTAGTGGTTCTTAGTAGCCTCACAGAGTTGTTGTGCTCCTTTCATCTAAAACAGTCCCACTTTTTCATTTTTTTAAGGACACAACATTTGGAGACCAGACCATTTGTCTTGTCAACCACCCAACCTAGGGGTCTGTCTGGCTATTTCCTTTTGCGCTGTGGTTGAACTTGCCCACTGGCCTGGGTGGTCTATAAAGTGGAGGTTGGGTGTAAGGCTTGCTTATGTTTAGTGTGGGCAGTAAGAACAGTTCATGGACGGTGATCTGTACCTTCCCTTATCAGGAATTGGATCCCTTCATTGTGGGAGAAGGGGTTACCACATGTCTTGTTGCCATGAGAGTAGGTCTTTTCTTTTGTGACTGGGGACTCTGCTGTGAGGTGACGCTTGATTCCCCAGGAAACTTCTCCTCTAGGGGCACTCCCTGCATGAGTCCGCCTCATGCCTTTCACAGCGATGAGATATCATTCTGTAAAAAAAGAGCTTTCCCTCATCAACTTGGGACTTCCCCTTTCATCACCTTCCAAGAAAGGAGTTGGTGTGGGACTCGCCTCCAAAACCACCTAATGAATTCAGTCCTTTTAATTTGAGTCTCATTATGGACATAAAGAATTATATCTATCCAATGTAATCAATGACACTCATTGTGCTTTTATTGAGATATAACCAGTTAACATCCATGAAACACCCTTTTAAAGTGTATATTCCGTGGTTTGTGGCACAATCACAATTGAATGGTTTGTGGTACGCTCACAGTTGTGCGTCCACCACCACTCTCTGCCTGGGGGACAATTTGTCCTTCTGCAACAAAGCCCCACACCTGAGCAGTGACTCCCCATCTCCCCCCAGCCCCTGGCAACCACTAACCTATTTTTCTGTCTATGATTTTGCCGGCTCCAAACGTTTCATTTAAGGGAATCATACAATATATCATCTCTTGTGATGTGTTGGTGCTTCATTCCTTTTTGTGACTGAGTGATATTGGACAGAACACTCTGGGGTATCCCTTCATCATGTGATGGGTACTTGGATTGCGTCTGCTTTCTGGATATTATGAATAATGCTGCTGTGAACATTTGTGCACAACTTTTTTGTAAACCTAGGTTTTCGTTTCTCTTGGATATATAACTAGGGGAGAATGCTGGGTTACATGCAAACTTTATGTTTAACACTTGGAGGAACTTTCACACTTTTCCCAAGTGGCTGCACGGTCTCACAATCCCACAAGAAACACGTGATGGTCGCGGGTTTCTCCACATCTTCACCAACACTTGTTATGGTCTGTCTCTTTTGTTTTAGTCATTCCCGTGGGTGCGAATGTGGTATGGCATTATGGTTTTGGTTTGCATTTCCTTAATAACTAATGGTGTTGAATGCGTTTTCCTGTGCTTATTGGCCTCTCTCTCTCTCTATATATATATATACTTTGGAGAAATGTCTATTCAATCCTTTGTCTATTTTTTAATTGGGTTATTTGTCTTTTTATTGTTGAGGACTTTTTAAAAAAGATTTTATTAATTTATTTGAGAGAGAGCACACAGGAGCAGGGGTAGGGGCAGACAGAGAGGGAGAAGCAGGCTCCCCATGAGCAGGGAGCCTGACTGGGGGGGGGCGCTGGATCCCAGGACCCCAGGATCATGACCTAAGCCGAAGGCAGATGCTTAACCAACTGAGCCACACAGGGGCCCCTCCCTCAGGTTTTAAATCAGTCTGGCTGAAAACCTTTCTCCTGCGCTGTTGCCCTCCTGAGGACTAGGTGTGGCCACAGAAAGGTTCGGTCAGCTAACGTGAGCTGAGGAGCAGGGAGTGAGGCGGGACCCTCATGGCACTGCCCTGCCCAGACGGGCGACTGTTGCAATGTCCTCACTGGTTCTTGACCTTGGCCACCTGACCCCAGTGATGTTCCGGAGCCAGCCTGCACTTTGGTGAGTTGGTTTCCCGGAGGCAGTGTGACCCCATGTGCCCCCCCAGCCACATAGCATGTGTTGCCAACCATCAGCAGAGCGGGGAGGTGTGGGCTTAGCCCACCTGGTCACCTCAGGCAGCCCTTGTTCATTTTTGTCCCCTTGTCACACCAGATGCGATTTGAGACTTCCCACTCTCTCCAAGCTCTAGGAAAAAGCAGGCATGAGGATCCTCTTGATCAGATTCCCAAAACTGATCAGGGGCTTCCTCCCCTGCCCACCTGCCGCCCACCATGGTTCTCCCCCTTGTGGACAGCACCCTGGCCCTCCTGGTGGCTGCACATTCACACCTCAACTGCTTTCTTTTCTACATTCCTTCCTTCCCCAGGCCAGGCGACCCTTAGTGCTGGGCCCAGAAAACCTGAAAACATCTTGTTTCAGTAGACTCTCAGCTTATAAATAGCCTTGAAAGCTTTTTTCCCTCAAGATTTCATCTGCTATGAGTTTCTGAATCTCATTTTGAAACTGTGTACCTGTGTTGGTCACGATGCACCCTTTGGGAACAGATCCTGAAGAAGGCACATTTCAGGACAGCATGGTGCTTATGCGGGAGTCTCTGAACGCTGGCTGGCCTGCTTTCTTAGGTACTAGCTACTTCACCTGTTTTTCACAGTCCTCATCTTAAAGTGGGGGTGATAACATGCGTCATTCAGAGAGTCGTTGCGAGCACTGAATTGGTAGGAGGGCTTGGCGAACATAAAGGCTCAACTCAGTTTGGGCGACTGGGCTTTGCAGCCCGGTTCCCACGGCAGGGGATCAGAGGGAACGCGTTCAGGAGGGAGCAGATTACTGACTGAGAGGAACAGATTCTCAAACATAGGAGGTAACATTTGAGTTTCCAAGGATGAGCCAATGAAGCAGAGAACAGAGTACGAGGTTAGGGACATGGGATGCTCAAAGGACAGATGTGCATTCATGTGACTGAGCCACAGGAGGGGGGGACGGGGCTGTAGGAGATGTGCCCACAGTGCCAACTGATGGACTTTAACAATTCATTCTGAACTAAGTAAGGGCCCAGCAGAAGGTCATTGGCAGATTTCTAGGGGGAGAATTGTCAAAAATAACTAGGCTCCAAAGCCAATTTACATTTTTAGAAACTTAAAAAAAGAATCGGTTGGGCATAAGGAGGCAAGACAGCTTTCTTCAAATAATTGAAAGTTTGTCAGATAAAAAAGGGAGCGGACTTACCCATGTGCTGTAAGCCAGTATCTTGGAATAGAAATTATAAAGCTATAGATTTCAGGACAACTTCAGATAGAACCTTCTGGCAACCAGAGCTGTCAAACAGTGGTCTGGTTTGCATTACAGTGGTCTGTCCTCCACCCCTGGAGTATGAAGTCAGATGACCGTCTATCAGACATGGCAAGTAAAAGATCTTGCGTTGCTGGTAGAAGGTGGAACCAATGCCCAACAGTCATGATTTCAGGTGGACAAAACTCAGTAACTCAGAAGGCTTAGGAAATGGGGTGTTTTGATGCATGCTTTTTTTAGTTAATGCAAGGGTAAGCAGGTAAATACTATTTTCTTTAAAAAAAAATATTTTATTTATTTGACACAGAGAGAGAATGTGAGAGAGAGAGAACACAAGCAGGGGCAGAGGCAGAGGGAGAAGCAGGGTCCCGGCCAAGCAAGGAGCCCGATGCGGGGCTCGATCCCAGGACCCCGGGATCGTGACCTGAGCCGAAGGCAGACGCTTAACCCACTGAGCCCCCCAAGGACCCCCAGGCTTTGGTATTCTTATGAGAACAGCAGCAAGTCTGCACTACTGGGAACATATTTAAGAATCGTCTTGTTAAATGTGTGAGATTTTCAGGTGTACCGATGTGTGGCTCCATCTCTCTGGAACTATGACGGTGCAGACAGTAAGTGCAGGGCTGGTGCACAGGAAGTGACGGCGAAGCTGTGAAGGCTTCCAGGAGATGACGCAGTCGATCCCAAACCCACGGAAATGTCGTGTCCCGCCTTCTGCTCCTAATTCCCTCCTTCCACCTTCCACACATCAGGTGCCCAGTGGGCATACTGAACGCATGTTGGCTCGATACGTATTGCTTTTCAGGGTTCCTTTTGCTTCGGGACGTAGATACGATGGGGAAATGTCCCTCTCCTCAAAGCTCTCGAGTTACAGAGGGTTGATGGAAAAATCAAACATGTACATAATTAAGGATTCAAATTAAGATCGTCTCTACAGCGTACCAATCTGCAACATGAGTTGCCAAATAAGTTTATGGATATATTAATTCATGAAATTCGTTTTAGCACAGTCAACATTTTATTCGGTTTCACAGGAAATGAATACTTTAACAAAAATCCTGTCTACAACACATACAGTGCTATGCACTCTGAGGGCTTTCCATTAGTGAGGGTTGGTGCTGCAGGAGAATTCCATTTTAGGGGCAGTCTATGCTTCTGTCTAATTAACAAGACTGTGGACTCTCTTATTTAACAATGTAACAGGTCTTTATTCCAGGAAACTTTTACTTTGTTTACTCCCAAATTTAGTTCTAATACGTTTATGGTGAGGGAGGGTCTGTGGATGCAAATGAACTTCTGACTTTTTGGTCTTAAATATTTACCACGTGATGGTAAGCAGGGATAGCCACATAAACACAATTTCTTTAAGCTGAGTTGTCCAGATAAAGCCACGAGTATACTTATCGTGGAACACAGGTGATGTGAGGTTTAACCCAGAACGTTTTCTTTACTGTAACAGAGAGAATCCCAAGGCTTACACACATAAGCATGCATACAACCGGAGTCCTTCCTGCTCTTGGCCAAGTGAATCTGGATGGTTCCGGGGGGCCCCTGGAGGCCAGGGGAGCTATTTCAGGAGTCCCAGAGTCAGCACTCCAAGCCACTAGCTTTGGAATCTGAAGCACTCGTTCTAAAAGACCAGCTTCTCCCACATAGTCTCCAAACCTTTAAAATTATACAGTGGAGTTAATAAATCGTGTTACACAATTTAACATCGTAGGTCGTCTCGTCCTCTCTGCTTGGAAATGGCTGAAGCAGACCCACCACATCAAGCCACCGTGAACTTGGGCGCTTCCACGCGGACAGGGCCCGGCGTGCATGCAGACAGTTTGACAGCGCCGCTGCACCTCCTCCTCAACAGACAAAACATCTCTTACCTTCCCCGCAAATGAGAGCAAATGATAAACGTGAAAAATGATATTTTAAAAACTCTGTATTCAGTTATTCACACCAAAGGATATCCATTAAAATTATGAACATCTCTACATATATTTCATGTATCATACATATATATACTTTGTATGTATAGTTACATATCGACAAAAAATTCCTGGCTGCCCGAAGCATGTAAGTAAAACAAAGCTAGATTTTGCAGCATAACACCCATATATGCATATCTACTGGCAGTTTGAATTATGAATTTATTTACAAGTTGCCTCGGTTATAATAAATGATTACTGTTCTATTATACAAACATAATGGTAAAGGCTTCTTTTAAATACAAAGACTGCAAATGAATACATGAAAAATTACACACATGTACAGTATTTATAATTTATAAATGCAAAGTTAAGACCTCTTTAAATTATTGCACTTGTGCATTTTACAAAGATTTTTATATGTCATACATATAAAATAATTGTTTTAAGTTTGCTAACTCATCAACTATAATAAAGTCGGATATTATTTACTTGAAATTCTTTCTCCTTCCAAAAGAGAGCCCACTAAAACTTTGGACACAGATCCATCAACTCTGCAAATCGGTCCATTAAGTGCATTGCGTTTTGGACAGCTTATAACCCATCTTACACCTTGGCAGTATGGGGTCAGCACGATCACCACCGGCAAACTTGTGGGTACCTTAACTAGGTAGGGATATAGGATCTCCTTTGTTCCTATGGACTTGTAAAGAAAGCCGCCTTTTCTTTTCAGAAAGATTCAAGATGCTGCATATCTATAAATTTTGGTAAATTTCACAGTGTTTGGGCGAGCACATTTTTTCACATGGGTCACTGGGTTGGGTCTGGTGAATAGGTCGGGGCATTGTATAGAAATACCTTCTCCAGATCAATCTGTTGAACTTTCAGTGTGCACACCAAAGGCATGCATAGAACATACACCATACAATAGATCTATGGGAAATAATACTCCTCTATGGCATTTACACTGGCTGTTGGAGAGATGGCCCAGGACTGGGTATTATTCAAGTGGCTAAAGGAAAAACAAAAGCTGCAACACCCATGGTCTAATAGTATTCCAGGTGAGCTGGAGGATCAGATGATACACTTTGCAACCTTCATTTGCAGTAGGAATAAAAATTTTCCATTTACACTTCTGCAAATACATAGTACCTCAAAATTATCAGCTGACACCTGACATGTGTAAACTGACTTCTCTACTTGACACACTGGATTCAGATCTTAACTTGCAGGTCAGGTCCTTGGACGACACTGACCCACGCCGCCGCCCCCTCCCCGCCCCCCAGCAGAGGGTCTGCACACGTTCGGTTACCAATTGCTCATACTCGCTGTAAAGCGAGGTCCAACTATGCATGAGGCATAGTGGGGTCGGCGGTGGGGGGAACCCAGCAAGTGAGTGAAGACAGTAATGTTTCTTTGAATTTGAAATATTGTTTCTTGGGAAACATTAATGTCTTTCTCTTCATCCCACCCTTTTAATTTAGAACCAGAACACCACTGAAACTTCTCTCCTTTTTGCTATTTTTACCATCACAGAAATGCATCTAATGCTTCAGACAACCAAAATATCCAGTACAAAAAAAGACAAAAAACAGACAGGGTATAGTACTGCATTGGGAATCACTAATTTAAACTTAAGATTAAGTGCCTAAAGAAATGGGCAGAATGTGTATCAGGGTAGATACTTGGGCAAAGGTAAAATAGAACAGCCATGCGCTGCTGACAAGCAGGGGAGGGGGAGGGGGGCAAGAAGCAACAGCATACTCGGTTAATTTACATTTTACAGAGATTTTAAAGTCAGGCAATAAAAGGGATACGTTAATGTGACTAAATAAGTCTTTAAAGAATTAAACCCTAAATAAAATCAGTAAAGTGTAGAAAGCAAACACATGTCTGAAATAGATAAAGGTTAGAAGTGATTTTCAAAATCTAAATCATGCATATGTACCTGAAACCCAACAAAATCATACCCACCATAACTGTGCCACAGTTCTTGGAAGTTCTTGCAAAAAAGACTGCATCTGTACACTTCATCGGTTATAGTCATCAGGGCATGTGTGAATGACATCAAATAAAGGATAGAAGTCTGATGAGGAGAGAATGGTCCTATCCTTTCAATTTGATCCAATTAACCATGGACATGTCCCTTTAAATGTTTTTAATTCTAGTTAAGCAAGAAAGGCAAAATAATAAATATATGAACAAGGAAGTAAAATTACAGTATTTAAAATAAAGGCACAGGCCAAGGCATGGTGATAATTTAGTCTGATTAAAGCTCAAACCTTAATTTTGAGATAAAAGACCAGAAACATAATATCCAAACTAAATCTATTTAAAAATCCAGGTGGCTAAGGATTTATGCATCTATGTGTATCATGTACAAACATATCTAGTGTGCCTGAACATACCAATAAAGCAAAGTCACTGAGGTTGTACAAAATTAAAAAGAATCTAAAGCTATCTAAAAAGCATGCTAAGAAGAGGAAACCTACACTGAACAAATTCAGTTTCAAAGTTGTTCTGTTTGTGTCGCTGTGAGAACAAGTCACCTCCAGTGGTACCGTATCAACTGCGCAGATGCCTTCCCACTGAGTAAGAGTCCAGGATGGGGACGGCTGTGCTAAGTAATTCCACTTGGTCTCTCTTCCATGACCGGTTTCTGACGAGCCCCGTAGAGATAGTGAGAGCTGGGAAGTGGATCTCAATCCTGGCCCCAGGAAAAGGGCCGTTTTTGAGAATTACTTTCCACATCCATTTTATTTAAGTTTTCCTAATTAACTAAATCAAAGTCAACTATTAATTAATAAGATGCTTGCAATTTTTAGAGTTTTATTCCGCTGCCTAAATTCAATATTTCATGTTGTTGGCATGCATTTCCAAGAAAATTTCTAGTTAAAAAATATATTCACTGTCTCTGGGAAGATAATGGAATAACTGCATTTGACAATAAAACTTTGTCCATTATAAATCAGCACAACCAATAAAAACTTCCACAAATCAAACATTCTACATATACTCACAGCTGGCTACCAAATTTATACTGAACAGGGAAATTTTGGCCCAATCTAAAATACTGCCTTAATGAGAAACTTGTTAAAACTTTTGGTAATAAAAACCATCTGCCCTTTCAAGAAAAGATCTGGGAGAAAGATGAGAACAGAGCTCAAAAGTTTGTCTGCTAAGTATATCTGCCCCAATATAAAAATACTCCTAACTGCATTTTTTCCCAAAGCAGATTATTGACTAAATATCACTGCATCTTGGGCCCATTTTAGGTAAATGTATGATTCCTAAGTAGATCTTAAGAATACTAACAGTTCACATTAGAATACAGTCCTTCCTTTGTTCAAACTTTGCTTTGATTATGACAATATTTCAAGAGAAATCAACTAACCAATAAACCCACATATGGTTCTTTGGAAAACTGTTCAAAGTACAATGTCAATAATATAAGAAATCTGGCTCTATCGAAATAGAATTTTCTGTAGTAATTTTAGAAAAGCAACCTTAAAAAGCAAAAATAGCCATAAGATTCCCTCCCTTCAGGACTCTTTTCTATATCAAAAAGCAAAATTCATGCATCCTTTTAAGATCCTTTTAACTAAACAATCGCCAGGGGTATTTCCTCCCAACCACCTTGCGATTCAGTGGAGTTCCATTACACGACTACCAACTCTTGGAATTGAAGTTCGATTTGGTGGGTCCAGTTTCATAAATCTGAGTGCAGAAAAACATGCAACATTTTAGAATTCAATTCTATAAATGCACTAACATGAAAAAGGACATTTTCTGCTCACATTTTCCAACACACAAAAAATCAGGTTTTGAAGAATGAGGCCGATTTTTACTTTCTATAGATGTGTTTGCATCACTATCCCTTATACATACGTACTTTTGTACTATGTATGTCTAGCCACAGTGGTATTTCTCTCTTTAGATATTTCATTTTACCTCATATTGTATAATTACAATAGCAAATGGAGTGCCAGGGAGGGAAGATGGCAACTTTCAGAAGCCCACAGGGAAATTGAACACATAGTGTTAATTTTAAAATAAGAACAATGTTTCTATATAGCTAACTCTGCTACAACTTAAATCATGTTGTAGGAACATCTGATTTCTTTTTTGCAAAAAACCATATGAATAACAATGTGTACAGTATTGAATATGTAAAAGAATATTTTAAAAATTTATTTTATCAAAAGTAATATTCTAGTTTCCTGCCAAGTGAATAGCAGATAAGCTGTCTGTTATGGATCTGCTGATCACTTCTTGAGACTCTAGTTCTCTCATTCCTTCAGGTCAGGACTAACCACAGCTCTGGAGGTGACCTCGCCATTGTGCTAAAAATCTCGACAGCTCTAATGTGCACCAGAAGTGACTGGCTTATAATCCTTGTAGGAAGGGGTCCAGACTACTACTTTTGTGTATTTTTTCGCAACACTTATATGGTACAGTAATATTAGTCTACTAAAAATTATACAGAAGACTGTCCAAACTACAGGTTTGGATATAGATGCTTGATACTGGAGCAGAGGAGAGAGAATAAAAACGCACCGCGATGCGTTCGCACTGTGCTCTCCTACTTCCTGTCGTGGACAGAGTGCTTAAGGAAATGTGACCGAGGAGCTCAAAGCAGGGGGCAAACTGGGGGATGGGTGCAGCAGAGCAAAGTAAAAATTACACAAGACTTAAATTTTATGGTTTAATTTGATTTTAAGAGAAATGTATGGTATTTTAATTAAATAATCCGTAGAATAAACCTCTCATTTTGAATGTGAGTCTAAAATTTTGCAATGACACCAAGTGAAAATATAAAGAAATCATTATTAAAATTCACATTTGACATCCCATAAGACCTGTCTGTTAAGAAAAATTCATATGCCTTGCTTTTGTTTGTTCTTTACGCAAAGTGTTTACAAATTTGCCTACAATGAAGAAAAAAAATAAAAAATATTCTTTGACATTTTTTGAATTGATACTTGGAATTTTGAGATTTATTCTGATGTATATCTGCATCTCTTCTCAAGAGGATACAAAGTCTACCTCCTTTAGTGTTAGATCTATTCACCCAAGCCCTTTAGTATAAACTTAGAGAATACACTTTTCGTCCACCTAACTTTTAATTCATGAGGCTCTGAGACAAGAATCTATTCTCCATCACTGATTGCAGAAAGACACCTCTTACTGTCACCTCGATGACACTCGTCCTGAGGCCGTGCTACAGTTCACGCTAATTACGAGTAGGTCACACACGAACATTCACAATAGTAATGTGTAAAAATTCCTATTTATAACCAACAACATCAAAGCAACATTGGTGTTAAAGCCAAAGTACAATATCATAATAGTACCATTTTAACCCCTCACTAGAAAGATACAATGGAAAAGTACCCCCTTCTGAATAATTCTTGTCCATTCCCACTAAGGCCTCAGCAACGTGAGCCTGTTAAAAAAGGCCAGTTCACAAGACAACTGGAGTCCCTCGGACGGCTGATTTCTGGCCACGGGGTGGTCCTGGTTGATCACTGTCTCTGACGCGTCACAGAGGAGACTGGTGGGGAGTCGTCGGCTTGACGTGTTTCCTTGATGTTACCTTCTTCGAGAGGCTTGTGTCCTAGTTACCAGGTGTAGGTTTCCCCCCGTGAAAATAAAAGGAAGAAAAGTCAAAGAAGCAGGACGAGCGTGTCTAGGTGGGACAGCTCATCGAGTGGCCGTCAGTCATCGATCTTCACAGGCAGCTTCTCCGAGGGCCCGTGGGCCCCTGGCTGGGATGAGATCCACACCGCACTCTCCTCCCCTCGGATCACCTTCTCCCACTGGCTGAGGTTATTCCTAAGGATAAAAGATGCGGGGACAAGGGTGTTTAAGAAGGACTTCTGGGCTCAGTCTCAAACATTAAGCACCCTCTGCCCCCCCGCCCCCGAGGTATAGCCGAGCACGATGGCCTTCTGGTGCCCTTCTGAGGCCGACAAGGACCAGCCTGCTGTGGCCGGGCAGGGTCCCAGCACGTCTCCCTGACGTGGTCCGGCAGCCCATTCTGTGGCCAGCAAGGCTGGGGAGGGGGGCCACCTTGTCCAGGAGCACCAAACGACAGGGGCAACAGGAGAGCTCAGATTAGGACACACCATCTCGTAATCAGTGAGAAAGGACGACCTGGAAAGGGGCACAAGCCACAGGGTGCACTAGCCAAGAGCATGGAGGTAAATGGGGAGGAAGGGAGGCCTGGGCGGCAAGAACGTTCGGCCACAGCACCGCCAGCCAGGAGCTCCCGCTCTGCGGGCAGAGACAGGGTGCCAGCTTGGGGTCCCTGCCACCTCATACTGGGAACTGGGGACTAGCCTTATTTTGAACACTGTCCTATATAAAAAGTCACTGTAAGTTACACGTAGGACCAATGTTAGAAATTTCTTTGTTGCAGTAAAGCCATCTTCGCGTTCTGGCAACTTGTGGTCTCAGACGCAGGCTGCTCGCCCCCCTCTCCACAGGTCTTTCCCTTTCCAAATCTGCTGTTCAAATGCTGTGGGAATCCTAATCTCCTTGAACAGTGTGACCACCACCACCTCGCCCCATGTGGCTGACCAGGCAGAGATCTTATCAACGCTTCCCACTTTGCACCTTGCTTTCTTATATACAAAGCCAAAATCAGAAGGGAACCTTGCACTAGCAAACACAAAAGTCATACAAAGCACACATAATGCAAAGACACCTCTGGACAAAAGAAATCTCTAAAATATAACCTGAAAAATGGAACACTTTTAGCTTTTGTGCCATATTACCACATATTATTTGCCCAGAACTTAGAGATTTTTGATATACTGGAAAAAAGACCTACACTAATGTTGCCACGTTTCCTTGGACACCAATGACACATGAATTTTTTTTAAGTGTTAATAAGATTAAAATAGCCTTTAAGAGATTATATGGTTCAGCCAAGTCAATGAAGCAAGAATGCATCAAAGCTGCTGAGACAGAGGAATCCCTATCCTCGTGCTCGATAATGACAGCAAGCACTCATTCTGCTGGTTCTGGATATTTAACAGAAAATACAGATAATTTTTGGATAGGAAAGGACTTTTGACTGTTACCTAGGATTTTTTTTTTTAATTACATGGATTTTGATTGATATTGCCATTTCTCTTTGGTGGGGCACTGACTTTTCCAACCCGATTCCATCAGGAATGAGTCCCAGCTCATACTCCATATTATCCACATGGCTTAGTCCTTATGTAATAAGATAATATTTTAATGAACTAACTGCTGATTAAGGTCAGTGATGGCTCAACAAAATCAGCTGGGAAGTTATGTTCACCTCCCCAAGAGCAGAGAAGAGAAACCATCACTTACATAGGAAAAAACATCTCCCTCCTTGTTGGTTTCCTTTGTTTTCCTCACAATAATTCGTTCATGAAATGAGTTTCAACAGCAGAGGGTGGGAGTATCCAAAGGCTCTGGTTTTGTTCAAAATCCTGCCTCTGTCCTCCATCCCCCACTGTGCCCACCCAACCCCCAAGGGTGCTCCATGGCTAAACAGTTGGAAAAATCAGCAGGACACCAGTTCTCTTGCAGAAAATCAATACACAGGGCTGCTCTGCTCACTGCCCTTTGACCTCCCCAGACGGAACTTCTTTTCAAAGTAACATGAAAATCCTAAAAAAATTCCAATGTTCTTAGCCGAGCGCATCCCTCAAAAGCAATGAGAAAAGGATGCAGAGGATTTAGAAGCTGGGACGGATGACAGAGGGCTCATATCTCTTTTGGGAAGAAACTAAAACTCACAGAGAAAGAAGATCCCAGTCAAGGCTCACCCTCCTCATTTACACAATAAACTGTGGGATTAAGCTGAGCCTCTTTCCAAGGAGCAGTCCCAAACACACATTATGGTTCTGTCTTTTTAAAAACGCATTGTGGGGGCGCCTGGGTGGCTCAGTTGGTTAAGCGACTGCCTTCAGCTCCGGTCATGATCCCAGGGTCCTGGGATCGAGCCCCGCATCGGGCTCCCTGCTCCGCGGGAGGCCTGCTTCTCCCTCTCCCACTCCCCCTGCTTGTGTTCCCTCTCTCGCTGTGCCTCTACCTCTCTCTGTCAAATAAATAAATAAAATCTTTAAAAAATAAAAAAAAATAAAAAAATAAAATAAAAACGCATTGGGCATGGATCCCTGGGTCCTAACAAAACCCAAACCCAAACCAGATACCTTCTTGCTCCTTTTTGGTGAATGAAGGACTTTATGAATACTCCTAACATATGCTTGTTACCTAGGCAAACACACAGCCCATAAAATGACATTTACTGTAATAAGACACAGCACACACATTGAGGAGAGGAAAATTCCATACGGAGTCTTCATCCTTTTGCTACATCACACCCAGCCTGAGCATCGCTACCTACCTGCACGCTTTGAGGAGAGGCTCGGTGGGCGGGAAGATCTGGGTGAGGGTGGTGTAGCAGGGGATGGCCACGGCGTTGTAGAACCCCAGCTGCCTCGTGCAGGGCCACGCACAAGACACAAAAGTGCAGGTTAGCAACAACCTCCCAGCTGAGGCTTCTATTTCTCAAGCCTAGCTATAAAATGAAATGTTCTAGTTTTGCTCCCTGACATTTGGGCTCAATGAATACTGCTGCAGAGTGCATTTAAAAATGCCTTAAAATACGTCCGTGAAGTAACACACATAAAAAGAGGCTCATCCTGGGGCGCCTGGGTGGCTCAGTCAGTTAAGCGACTGCCTTCGGCTCAGGTCATGATCCTGGAGTCCCTGGATCGAGTCCCACATCGGGCTCCCTGCTTGGCAGGGAGTCTGCTTCTCCCTCTGACCCTCACCCCTCTCATGTGCTCTCTCTCTCTCTCATTCTGTCTCAAATAAATAAATAAAATCTTTAAAAAAAAAAAAAAAAGAGGCTCATCCCAAACCCAAGTTCAACATTCAATGAGATTCCATTTATAGATCAGTCAAGTTATAATTCAAGCACTGTTCTTGTCTCTAAGTCAAAGTTAGTTTTCTACCATAGACATTTCAAAGTCAACCCTGCTATTCTTCTACACGTGGCCTCTTCTCCAACTTAGTATTTGGGAATCTGTGCAGGTGTTTCGTGGGCTTGCTATCCTTGGCTGTTGGTGCCTTGCTTGGTCTCCAGAGACCTTCTTTCTCCCCCTCCCTTTTTTTTTTTTATATAATCACACAATGAGACAGGACCTTTACAAAAGGACATGAAAAGAAGATGCCGGACAGGAAAGACAGATCTCTGTGAGCAAATATATGGGAAAGTTCCATAAACAATATTAAAAAGAAATTAAACTGCAAGAACCACATGCAATAGACACGTGGGGCTGGGCATGTCGGTGTGTGTTCAGCAGGGAAGAACAGTGAGCACCCTGTTGGATGCAGCGGCTAAGCACATGAACACACTGTGAACCGAGGACCACAAGGGTGAGAAAACCACGCGGCCCTTCTCTGTGCTGACGTCTCTGAAAAACTGGGGACTTGCCTCAACTTTGGTATGAACAGTGAATAAATTAACTTTAAGTGAAATAGGAAAGCTTGAGAACTTATCCAAAACCATCATCCTGTGAGTTTTCTGAAATGTTTTCTAAATGAAATTCTATAATTATTTGTCCATAACTAACTTCCCTGTTATGGTGTTAGAAGAGGGGTAGTTTAAAAAGACTATAATCTGAGAAATAGATCGCATCACACATGCAAAACTGATAGGCACGAGAGCTGTCAAAACATCAAAACATTGACATAAATCATGTGGTAAGACCTGAAAAAATAATAATTAATGTCAACTGGTGGTAAGACAAAATTCAAAATGTACTAAAATACTATGCATTATTCATTAGGAAAAGTGGGCCTGATCAAAATCTATGTTACTCTCTAAAAAATACCTTTGCACATTCAATGACAAAAGATTTTCTGCTTGTTAAAAATATTAACAATTCAAACTCCTCTATCCCTCCATTTTAAGCCATTGGTTACTGTGATTCCATCGGTGGAAAGAGCTGACGGTTCGGGCAGTTGTGGCTTCTTTAAACCCAACTACGATTTCCTAATCCTGGCCTTATGATCCCCAAACTCCATCTAAATGCAGAAGATTTCAAGTGGTCCTGGGTTCTACAAGATGGCATATACTTTTAATTCACGTGTGGTTTTATGACTGCCTGAAATTATTTGACTTTTCAACAGAATTCATACCTGGCCTTGTGGGACCTCGTCCTTCTTGTCTCTGTCCATCATGGGAATAGGTTGTATTCCCAACTTTTTCATCTCATCGCCCTAAGAGAAACAGGAAAAACCAAGCTTTCTCAACTTATAAGCCATTATAAAGTCTTGGTATTAATGAGTTGTTCCCTTTATTTATTCATTTTCTTCACAATGGATAATGCTTCTGGCTATTGATGCAAACAAATGTCAAAACAATAAAAACTTAATGTATCATCATTTGGCTTTTCTCAATGAAATTACCAGGAATGCAGGCATCTCTCCCGGTTCTACTGTGCAGAGGTTAGTGAAAGTTGTAACAAGAAGAGACTCAGATAATAGTGAGGAGGAATGACAAGAACAAAGCATGGAATAACCTCAAGGCCTTTTTCTCACTTATTTTTCAAATGAATTCTCACGTGTGTTGAACTGGATGAAGCGAGGCTTTAGAGAGAAATAATGTATATCAAGACTGGTCTGCTAATATGTGTTAGTAAAGATGCAGGATAACTGGATACACATCACCGTAAAGGTTACAGTCACAGATGTTTATTAAAGATTTCCTATTTTGCAGGCTCTGGGATAGGTAACATATAAATACTATTTTATTTAATCATGAAATACTAGGAGTTAGATATTCTTGTCCCCATTTTATAGATTTTAAAAATTATCTTCCTCTTTTTAGTTATTTGTTAAAGATTGTTAAAATCTTCTTTCTTAACATACCCCAACTTTTTCCTTGCTACACCACTATTCCCTCACATTTCTTCATTATTCAGTTTCTTTAATTACTTCACAATCATGCTTATTTTCAGAAATCAGAGGTGGAGAACTAAAAACATCCTAGATTTGCTAATGTAGGTCCAAAACAAATGATGAGAACCCCCACAAAAGGTTCTATTGCAGGGACAGAGGCCAAGCACAAACATCGAGAACCCCCACGAAGGGTTTTACTGCAGGACAGAAGCCAAGAACAAATGACTAGGACCCCCACAAAGGGTTTTGGCAGGACAGAAGCCAAGAACAAATGACAAGAACCCCCCAAAAGGGTTCTATGTGCAGGACAGAGGCCAAGCACAAAGGACAAGACCCCCCACGAAGGGTTCTATCTACAAGACAGAGGCCAAGAACAAATGACTAGAACCCCCACGAAAGGGTCTATGTGCAGGACAGAGGCCAAGAACAAATGACGAGAACTCCCACAAAGGGTACTTTGTGCAGGACAGAAGCCAAGAACAAATGACGAGGACCCCCATGAAGGGTTCTATGTGGAGGACAGAGGCCAAGAACAAATGACTACAACCCCAACAAAGGGTTCTATTGGCAGGACAGAGGCCAAGAACAAATGACGAGAATCCCCACGAAGGGCCCTATTGGCAGGACAGAGGCCAAGAACAAATGATGAGAATCCCCACGAAGGGCTCTACTGGCAGGACAGAGGCCAAGAACAAATGACGAGAACTCCCACAAAGCGTTCTATGTGCAGGACAGAGGCCAAGCACAAAAGATAGAACCCCAACAAAGAGTTCTATCTGTGGAACAGAGGCCAAGAACAAATGACGAAAACCCCCATGAAGGGCTCATCGGCAGGACAGAGGCCAAGAACAAATGAGGAGAACCCCCACGAAGGGTTCTATCAGCAGGACAGAGGCCAAGCATAAATGTCAAGAACCACCAGAAAGGGTTCTATCAGTGGGACAGAGGCCAAGCACAACTGACTAGGACCACCACGAAGGGTTCTATGTGTGGGAGAAAGGTCAAGAACAAATGATGAGAACCCCACGAAGGGTTCTATTGGTAGGACAGAGGCCAAACACAAATGTCAAGAACCCACAGGAAGGGTTCTATTGCGGAACTAGGCCAAGAACAAATGAGGAGAATCCCCACAAAGGGCTCTATGTGCGGGACAGAGGCCAAGAACAAATGATGAGAACCCCATAAAGGGTTCTATCAGCAGGACAGAGGTCAAGCACAAATGACTAGGGCCCCCACGAAGGGTTCTATCGGCAGGACAGAGGCCAAGAACAAATGACTAGGACCCCCACGAAGGGTTCTATCGGCAGGACAGAGGCCAAGCACAAATGACAGGACCCCCAGGACGGGCTCTATCGGCAGGACGGAGGCACTTGAGTCCAGCTTCTCCTCCCGTGTTATCACTTTAAATATTAGCTCCATGGTTCTCAAACTTTTTCCATTCCTCTTCTAAGTGAGTGAAACTAACCAGGCCCCTTGCTCAAGGATATTACAAGTCCAGTAAGTAAAAAGACTGTGGATAAACAAAGATTTGACTATGTACAGTACTCACAAATAAGGATCAGTGCTACACAGGAAAACAATGGAGTACTGCAGAGTATGCGTCCCAGGAAGTACTGGCCCAGAGTGGGGCTTGCAGAGGAAGCTGCAGAGGGCAGGCAGGGGGGCACGGGGGTGGGGGGAGAAGCTGACCTTGATGGCCGCGAGAGGGACTTGACTCAGGGAAGCCAGAGGGGCTGAGATGAGGAAATAGCCTGGTGAAGCAGTGGGCTTTGGAGATCAAGTTCATGACCTCTGTCTCTATCACAACAGCATGGAGGGACAGACTGGGAACAACATTAGAGTCATCCCTAACCTGCAGATGTGACAACTAAAGTACAGAGGTGAGTCACAAAGCTGGTCTGAGGTTTGATCCCACGTGCTACAGCAGGATGCCCATCTCCAGCACCAGGACATCAAACACCACACTCTGTGTGACTGTTAGTCTAAGTCTAAAGGAAAAGGCAGGGACCTAGGTCAGAATGCTGCAGGGATTCAGGCACGAGGTGGCCAAGTCTTGGGGCAGGAATTGGGGTGGGTGGTGGGCAGAGATGGGATCTAGCGGACATCTGGTAAGTGAGCCAGCAAGACCCAGTGATGACCTCTGCTTCCTCCCATGGACTGTGAGGTCCCTGAAGACAGCATCCATGTGCACTTTGGGAGCTTAATCAGTCTTTGTGGACTGTTTAATCAGTGCAAAAGAGAGCAGGGAAATCTAAATAGCATATCTGTCACATTTTGATTCATATTTTAGAATACAAATACAATTATGAAAGTATGAATTATATTAGTTAAATAAAATTATTTGCAAAACAATAAGCTAGCTTCAGACCAGTTTTCCTTATGTGATATTTACAGAATGTACTCTGGGTTACTACTTTTAGACACATATGCAAATTAAGTTAACGGCTAATAAAGTCAGAGATTACAGTTCAGACATGTATACCTAAAACAACCTTCTTAATTAAGTCTGATAGTAACTAGATCCTGGGATAAACACTATAAAATAAGAAAAAACATGCAAGAATTTGCATGCACAATGTGTAGGCATTCTGGAGAAATAACACTGTGAGTATAATCAACTCCAGGCCTGTGGTTCTCACCCAACAAGCATTTTTTTTTGGCTTTGCCATCGTGAAAAAAAATAACATTATAAATCTTTTCTATTGAACTATCAACTGAATGATTGGCTGGTTTTTACTTTTTACATCCATTCTTTTATACGGGTGAGGCTGAATGGTTTCAATTAGCAACGACCAAACTCTTGGCCCTCCAAATTTACCTTTACTTCTTCAAACCAAATGAGGTACACAAACATTTTATTTCATTTGTTTCCCTAAAGTAATCTTTGAATATGCAGGGGGCTAGGTATTTGTGGGTTCATGTTAATAAGAGAGTGTTCTACTTCTTCTTGGACAATTCAGAAAGCAAAATGAGAACTCAAACACACATTTCTGATAATTGAGATAATTCAGTCAAGAAGAGGGTATTAATGAAATTAAGTTCCATGGTTGCCTCACATGTCAGGGGTATCATGAGTTAAAAGCCCACATATTCTATGGAACTCATAATTGACCATCTGGAGTATTTACAGAATCTTGTACGTCTATGGTACAAGGTAATTATGTCCCCAATTTCCAACTGCAGACATACACGGCCTGTGACACTGGGGTCCCACAATCTCATGGGCTGTATGTCTGCATCTGTGTAGAAATGCTAATTCTCCTATGGCATGTGACTGACAGTATACTGTTTTTTGAAGTAACAAGCAACCTGAGCTACTAAGACATTGTTACTAATTTACCCATATATTTACTTTCTCATCAGACTTTTTCTCATTTTTAATGTTCATATAAAAATCAAAAACATACCTCAGCCCAGAACTCTGCATATATATCATTTGCTGTCAATTTTGTAACCGGCCACAGCTTTGTTACAGAACAAAGATCACAGGCAGTCATCATCAAACCAATGACACGATCTCTAGAACACAATAACACAAAACAGGTCAGCGTGGCATTTGCACTCTTACAATAAAGGCTAGAAAGACGTGTGCATTTTCAGGAATAAGGCTTAAATAGCAGGCATTACTTGGCAACTGGGAGGAGAGTGGGCGGGGAGAGAAGCAGTGTTGCTTCAACTGGAAGGACCTGGGTCACCTCTGTCACTGCCCCGGGAAGGGTTACGGTGCACCTCAGTATCATTGCTGTCATCAAGACAGTTGGGCATGGCTCTGGGGCCACCTAAATCCTCATGGAGTTCTGCAAATGTACAGGGTGAAGAAACCTTGAAGAAAAAAATCTACCCCAATCCTTTTGTTTATATATGAAAAATGTGAGGTGCAGAGAAATGAATGACCTCCCCACGGCGCAAGCAGCTCAAGACAAGGCCAGAGCAGACGCAGGTGCTCAGCATGCGTGATGGGAGCTGCCTCCCAACACTTTGCAAACTCTAACCTCCAAAGAAATGAGTCCTCTTTTTCAGTTGCTTTGCATTCACATTTTGACTTCTTTTTTTCTAAATGTGGTTTGGTTTAATCTTTCTTCTTGAAGAAAAAGAAAAAAACTGCTTGAAGACTTGAAACGGACATACCCCTACAATTTTAATGGATTTGGTCTAGTGACCTAAATGAAATCTATGGCACGAACCGCTGATTAGTAAGGAATTTTAATATACTGACTTTAACTTTTAGCAATAATCGCGCCTCGGATAAACCTCATTGGCTACGATACTGCCACTGTGCAAAGCTCGGACTTTAACTTTTATGAAGCAAATTACATACTTTAAAAGGCAAATTATCAGGGAAGATACAAAATTGTGGGGCAAATGAGATGTGACCATTTCCAGCTCATATGTACATTCTAACGAGTCTCGGGAATCCGCCGCCGCCTCCGCTAAATAATGCCTTAGTTCTTGTAACCGCACAGATGGTCCCCTCCAGGGGCACAGCCCGGCCCTGGGTCCTGAGCCTGCCCCCACCAGGGCAGATGGCATATTAAGAACGCCTATCCGTCGCTGTGGCCGAGCCTCTCATGTAGCGGCTCTCCCACGCACAGATTCCTGGCTATTTGGGAGACCCTGCCTGGTCTGTTACCTGCGTCTGGGACACCGATCCCTTGCAAGGCTCCTTTATTTCCCATCAGTCCACTTCCTTTAGGCCATTTCCTTAATTAAAATCACTTTTACAACCTCACTTTCCTTAAGAACACGTCTTTATTGGGGCAGACTAAATGGCTGATGAGACTTCTGTGCACCCTTCTTGTGACCCCAGACAGATGCCGTGTGAAGATCCAAATTCCTCAACGTGATCAGGAAACTCCGTATTTTCTTGATGCGGGAGTTTCCGAATAAGCACTTTGTGGTTTAAAGGAAGAATATTTCTGGATTTGGACTTCTAGAAGAACGAATTTGTCATCTGTTTATTCAACAGGTAAATTCATTAAACAGAAACAGAACATGAAAACAAAACTATGGCTGTTTCATAAGATTGAAATAATTCAATCTCGTTTATATTCACATATACACCTCAACATTTACTTTTGTTGGCTGAACATTCTAACAAGCTTTACCTCAAAAAAGATTTATCTCGTAAATCCACAAAACAAGAAATGTTAACAGAACTGGGCACACTGTAGGACGCAAGGAACCAATTTTCTCCCTGGACCGGATTTCACAGGTAGTGTGGTTACTATTAAGGTTGAGAAGATTATGACCCCAGTTGTCATTCAGATTTCACTGTCAAAATTACTTAGACAAAACAATTCAACAGTAATTATTTTACTGGTAACCAAAAAAGTAAGAATAAACAGGTAAGAAAGTTTTTATTAAATGCCTTTAATAAATTACTTATCTTTTACTCTTAATGACAAATCAGTTAGATGGTCATGGTTGCCTGGAAATATTAATGTAAATTGGAATAATTTTATTTCTTTCCACGAATGGAATGTAGGTCTAACTGGGATAGCCGCTTAATTCATCATGCGTTCTGATAATCAACTCTGAAAGGGATGGAGTTTATGCTAACTAAACTCTAGGTACAATCTTGTATAACCGGGTCAGCAAAAATAACAAAGAGCCCAATGCAATGCCTATGTTATAGATAATTCTTTGGTAAGTAATTTCAGGGAGTTTGACTACATTCATTTATTCCAAAATTTTTTGAGTGCCTCTATGTATCAGGCACAGTTATAGTAATGAATCAAGTACCCTGCTCTTTATAGAACTAACATTCTAATATGGACACGCAGAAAATAAGGTAAAAAGTTTCATTGAACAAGCTTGTAAAAATTATTGTAAAAGAGGCATGAAGATCTGTGAGAGTCCCACTAGAGATGAGTAGGTGTGGAAGTTCTAATGTGTCCATGAGGAACATGGTGAGCTTGAGGAACAACAAGCCGGTCTGGCTGATGTGGAGGGATGAGGCACAGCACGGGGTGCTGCCCGGTCTGGAGACAAGGCAGAAGTCTGCTATTCCAAGTCAGATGGTCACACAGTGGAGGCTGCGAGCAGAGGAGTGACATGCTCCACATGGTAGAGAGATCTTGGTGGAGAATGACTTGTACAATCATAGGGGCAAGGGAGGATGGGGAGAGATCACTTAGGAGACCACAGTGGTCCAATGAGAGAGGATAGCAGCATGATTCCGATGGCTGCGGGAGACAGGGACAGGTGGAAGGCTCTGGGTGTCAGGTAGAGCCAAGGTGAAACACGGTAACATCTGCAGGTGTTATGGTGACAAAGCCCCCCTCCCCCCGTTCCTCTCCCTTCTACTCAACCCCCATGCATAATCCCAGACCAGGTGGAACTAAAGACACAGGATCCATCAGGCTGTGCAGACATTCTGACCTCTCACCAGGGCCGTCCTACCTTAAAATTCTCCTCCCACATCAGAAGATCACAGAATCGCAAAACTTTACCAAAGGAGAGGAAACCACACAGCATGCAGGATTTCAGGTGGGTTACTCTCCCATTATGCTCCCCATGCCCCAACTGCCCCCCACCACTCTACAAAAGTTCATCAGCCACGGATACAATGTCGTATTGGAAGAAAAGCAGAAACATGAAGCTGGACCAGATGAAACATAAGTAACTTTATAAAAGATTTCAAATAGAGACATGAAGATTATATATTATATATTTACATATATATACACAAAGAATGAGTTCTCATATGATTATCTTTACAATTCTTCATTTGTGTCAATATCTGGATTTCAAAAAGACTGAAGGACTAGGTAATTTCCACAGTGAGCTCCAAACAGAAGACTTCTCTACCCTCACTGTTCACTAGGCTCTGACATCATTCCGGCCTCCCTAATAACGTGGCCTGGTTTTAAAACACCGTTAACATCACCTACTTCAATCCAAGGTTATCAGCCAAGGTTACCCTAACATGAAAGAGACGGCACACCCAGGGGGACGGGAGGACCGACTGACAAGCTGAAGGGAGGCTAAGGATGGGGAGGCACCGAGGGTCAGTGGCAGCAAGCAGGCCCTGCCCTGAGCCCGAAGGGGCAAGGATACGGAGCTTTCCCCAGAAGCACTGTGAAACCAGGGGAACAAATGCACCAACTCTTCTGTCCTCCCACCCTCTCATCTCTTGTTAGTGCCACCAGTCTCTGAATCCAGAAGCTGGAGGGAGGGCAAGATTGCTGGGTGACCCAGCCCCTACAGGTCAAAGTGGAAAACATGGTCAGTGGATCTGGAGGCCAAAAGGAGGCTACTCAGATGACAGGAGTACCCAGAAGGGAGAGCTAGAAAGCTGTCGTTCACACTGAAAAATACGTTTGAAACTCAAACAACTTTTAAGTTGTTACACCTCTTTATTCGCCTCTTTATTACACCTCAAATTACACCTCTTCATTCATGTATCAACAGAAAAATGGGTTTAAAGTCAAACTTTCTACTAATCTAAGAAAATCTGTTCCATTAGTATTTGGGGACCCAGGTTAAAGTGGATAGTCCAGCACAGAACTGTCATGGAAAATAGAAAAAAGAAAGAAAGAAAATGGATAGTCCAGCACAGAACTGTCATGGAAAATAGAAAAAAGAAAAAGGAAAAGGAAAATAAATACATGCCTGCTTATCTTAGAATGCTCATCCACAAAGAGCTAATCAAAGACCAGGTTTCTACTACGAGGTGGTCTTCATTACAATGTGGCTGAGGTTGGGTAAACTGGGGTCCAGTGGTTAAGTAAAGAGCAAGCTTTTGGGGTGTGTTTTAGCAGGTGTTTTGTTTAGAAACTACTATCTAGCCTTATTTTAACTCTTCTGTTTAATTTTAAAATCCCGTCATACACAATATTTGAAAAGAGACTAGGTTAAATCATTTTCCCCCTTAAATTATCATTTTAATGATCTTTTCTTGTTTTTAAACTTATCTTCAAGGAATTTTAAATCACAGTATTAAGTAATTTAAATAAATCATGTTTATGATAACTACTTTTCTGATAATACAACCCATTGTGGCTATTTTTGAAACATTAAACCAGACTCAGGATGCTATGGATTCTCTGAAAATATTATTTGAACAGCTGCAGAGTCAAAACCGTACATGAGATGTTGGACTCCTACTGTTTCCAATGACACAATACAAATAACTCTTCGATATAAGCATAAGCAGGGTGCAGTGATGAGCTCACTAAAGTAAACTTTAAATTCAAGTTCTCAATTCTTAATTTTATAGAATCCTATGTTGCTTCTTCACAAAATGCCATTGAGAGAAAAATAACTACATGTCAAAGGGAAATCACTCTTGAGCAAATGTGTGTCACAGAGGGATTTGCTATTAAAAATCATCCTAACTTGGGGCTCCTTGCTCTGTGGGGAGCCTGCTTCTCCCTCTCCCTGCTTCGCCCTCTGTTTGTGCTCTCTCTCTGTGTCAAATCAATAAATAAAAACTTTTAAAAAATCATCTAACTTAAAATGTATTTGCCTAACAAAATCATTGTATTAGTTCTAGAATTGAGAGCCCTTACATAGCAACATGCGCTACCGTAACTTTAAATCAAGTGAGGACATTAGCAATTTCACGTTAGAACTTAGTTTCCCTACATTTCAAGTTCTTCAGATGAAACATAAAACATACCTAGCAGAATGAGGCCCCCATGCATTTACTATGGCAGGTAGACAGAGATTCTTAATTTAAATAAAGGATGCACTTCTCTATTTTTTAAATTTTTTATTTTTTTAAAAGATTTTATTTATTTATTTGACAGAGAGAGACACAGTGAGAGAAGGAACACAAGCACGAGGAGTGGGAGGGGGAGAAGCAGGCCCCCTGCCGAGCAGGGAGCCCGATGTAGGGCTCGATCCCAGGACCCTGGGATCATGACCTGAGCCGAAGGCAGACGCTTAACGACCGGGCCACCCAGGCACCCCAAGGATGCACTTCTTTAGACGTTAGGTAACTTCATTCTTGGCCAAAGTCTGCCATTGATTTCCTCAGATGAATATCACCTTTTCATGTTTCAGTATTAATTCTAGGTATAAAGAGAGAAGCCACTGTCTGTCGTTTATCAACTATGCAATGGAGTAATTATAATCGATATCTACAAAAATTATCACCTAATATTATCATATATTTAAGTACAGACATTTCAGCAATATCAGGTAAATTGATGTATTAAAAGTATAAAAGAGATTCTCTAAAAGAGAACAAGAATTCATAATCAAAAAAAGATACTATACTGATAAACAGAGGTAAACAGTAAAATAACAGAAACATTAAAATTTATTTAAAAATATATT